TCGACAGTAAATGTAATAATGGTGGGGAAGACAAAAGTGACAAGAACGATTTCGGAGTCACCCGATTTTTTGACTAGCGGTAGTTAGAATCATGTCATGGAAACCACAATAAATGCCTTTGTCTAATTTATTCCGTTCTATTGCACTAACTTATTCAGTGGCTTTGTGTGATGCTGTTGCCGGTACTATGAATTAATGTGACGTAGTTGTTGCTTTCGTCATTATCCACTCTTGGATGGAGAGTGAAACTGTTTTAGTAAAATATCCTTTAAAAATGAGCGCGGAGGTGGACAGACGCGATGAAGCAGCCCAGTTAAGTTTCTTCCAGCGTCTGTCCTCGGTCTTGTTTTAATTACTTGTCTGGTAGGCTACCTACTGTGCGAAAAACTCATCCACACCCCAGACGAGCTTTATTATTAGGTATCTAAGATTGGGCCAATGAATCAACCTGTTTCTAGGATCTTCTCTTCCGGTGCAACTTAAAGACTCCTCTTAAAATCCATGATAAAACTTTTCTAATACCTGCAGCCGGTTTTAGTCTCCTTGGTTACAGCTCGGTGTCCGAAAATTGATGTCTTTTCAATCCCGGTAACATGTCTCTCCTGAGAAGTCTTGTTGCGTTTGCGTTCGCATTTTTCGTGGCGGTGAGCCCACTGGAGGCAAAAAAGCGGAAATCATCTCTTCCACACATTTTGTTTATGCTTGCAAATGATCTCAGGTGGAGCGACGTTGGATTTCACGGATCAAAAATCAACACTCCAACCATTGACTCGTTGGCCAGAGAAGGGGTTATACTCGACAATTAGTATGTTCAACCGGTCTGTACACCAGCCAGAGAAGCACTTATGACTGGAAGGTATCCCATTCACACAAGTATAGTTAATGTGCCGCTGTTGCTTTAATATTTCGCCTATAACACTACTACTTTGGCATTCAGTGACAATCGCTACAAAATCCCACTGACTTAGAGTAAAACCCTGATACACCTTCAATAGTACCCTACCAAGTCTTCTAAAACAAGGTCAATGATCTTTTCTGAAAAGACATTTTAAGAGTCTTTAGATGTATCGGCTTTTTTCTTTAGGCGAGGGAAAGGCTATCCGAAAAAAAGAAAAAAGATTGCAGCACAATATTGGGAAGCATGGCCTGGGCGAGGCACTTTTTAATTTTCATTTGATGATAGTCGTATGACATTAGAAATGTTCGAACAATCTGCCGAGAATTTCTGAGGTACAGCGAAGATTATCAACGCTCGTGAATGAGAGAGAGATTGAATTCTGCAAAGATGCGTGTAAAAGAAAGTTATTATTTTAATTTGTCAATAAATGGGTCGTTATAATCAGTGGCACCTTTGAAAAGAGAATAAAATATAGGGTTTGTATAACACAAAGGTTCTTGCCTGTGATTATGTTACGAGAGAATTTTCTGAAATATTATAAATGCATATCACGAGAAAGGTTCAGAAACCATGCCAGCCACTTAATAATATCACAGAACAGACTTACATTAGACATACATTACATGAGTGATGAGTAATGTTATAGATAAAGAGATGTTATAGGTTTACAAATACACGTGCGCTTTTCCTTAAGCGTGTGGGAACAGGGATTTTGATTAGTTATTGCGTTAACTTATACATGTAATTTAAACCTCTAATACACTCTGTTATCATTCTGTTGACAACAGTTTTCTTAGCAGTAGTTCTGCCAAAAAACAACATGCTGGCGATTTCTTTTCGCCTCTTGGCCGTTATTACTTCCAGAAAAGAATTTTTCCGTTTGTCCGTTCCTTTGTTCGAAAGTCCGTTCCATTTTATACTTTCTTTGGCTAAGATGGGACACTGTGGGCATTTATGGACGGCGACATAAGTCGGAACTTAAAAGTAAAGCAAGTTTTCGAGCAAACTTGCACTTTACTTATTAGAACAGTTTTTTAAAGAAAGACTAGGATCGTGAGAATTTGCTTCGAAGAACATGCTTGCCTCAAACGTAACACCAGAAACTCGTGAAAAGAGGTAAATAGAAGGGTGTAACGCAGCCTAAGACCTCCTGAAAAATGTCTACTTGGCTCCATTTATGAAGCTTAGGTACGGCCATTAGATGCGTTAATTACCGGAAGGACTCGGAAGGAAAGTCATTACACTAAATGGTTTTAAAATTCTTGAAGTGAATTAAGGCGCCGGCCACGGTGATTTGTCTTCCAAAATATCTATTTTTGTCTATTTTTGTCCTTGCGAAAACTCAGCTAAATTATTTTCACCCATATTAGCGTTTTCACACTATTTTCAGCTATCCACATTAGTGCGTTCTTATTTTTATCAAATCCATATTTTTAATGCACTTCCGTCTATCGTCCACATTAAAAAACGTCATAAAACTGAAACGAAAGCATCAGTGTGTGATGTTGTTCTTCACGAGAGAGTTTTCAAAACCCCAGTCTTACCAGTGTACATTGTAAACGAAGTGTTTTGAAAACGATGCGTTTTCAAAAGACTTTTGAAAGCGTTTCTGTGTCTCCCTTATCGTCAGCCTGTTACGTTGTTTTTAGAACTGATATCTGCGCAGTGAGCGCAGAGGCGTTTAATCACGCGTTTTATTTTAGAAAACGCAATGATATTGATGGAAGTCACTAAAAGGAGGGTTCAAGTTGTAATTTTTCTGCTGTAAAGATCATTCATACTAGCTTTAACAGGTTTTGTTTTACGCTCTCTGAGGCATACTCAAGATTTCAAACTCAGGGAATGTTACAGATCAGGAGAGGCGAGCGGTCTAGGAGCACTTGACCTTGAAGTGATTCTGGTTTCACTGTAGTAGCGCCCTCAATATCACCTAAGCCTTGGTCTACTTTGAAGTCAAATCAAGCGGATCTTATAAAAGATTTAGCGATACCACGTGTAAAGCCATCACAGTCACCATTTTAGTCCGCCTTTTCTAAAGAAACCATGGACCTGTATTTAGTGAAAAATTCTAGTTAAAGAACGCGAACACTGGCTTTTTCTGTGCCCCAAAACATTTCTCAGGCGGTCACTTTATGCTGCTATTTTAAAATTTGTTGTATTTATAGGAAAAATGTAAATCCCTTAGACCGTGTCTACTCAATGCTCTTTCAAACTTCCTTTGCACATGATTAAGCTAAATTCGACGATGAGGAATGTCAAGCCACAAATATCAGAATGAGAAACGTCTGTACCGGCTGTCTCCAATCGCGTTCGTCAACGAGACCCCCAATTTAACATCTAAAATTGCTAAATATGTCTCTTAAACCACAGGCAGACCACACCATGTGTTTGCGGTTAATAAGTGATGACGTGAGAGGAGCAGAATCTTTGATGGTTATAAAAAAAGTTCTGAAAATTGAATGTCTCCATAAAGTTAAATGAAATTTTAATCGACGCATTTTTGGTATTTCTTCAACTTCATAGGCCATTTGAAGCCACTTTTTACGAAATTACCCTTGGCCGGAGATTGTTAAGAGAAGAAAGGAAGTCTCCTTTCGTGGTCTGCCTGTGCTTAAACAAGCGAAAAAGAGCACGCAAGTGAAACACGGTTTCTAGGCACTGATTACACGACAGTTAAATAATGCCACTCGGGAGTCACAAGATTGCTGATTGGAGGAACATGCTGGAACTTGAAATTAATGAGCCTTCATGAGGTGACTGAGGTTCAAAATAGCTGTTAGCCAATGCAATTTCATACATGACTCGAGGAGATTTTTTACACTGATGTGGAATGCGCTGGATAACATAATGTAAATAATCTTTTCCCAACAGTATTTTTAGAAAAAGGATTATTCGCCCGGTCTTAACACCATTTAATGCAGTTTGTCGGAATTTGCCAGTTGCCACAGCTGCCGGTGAAGTTGTGAAGAAATGCTCGTTGTTTATTTATCATGAGGGGAAAATTAATGTTTGGTTTATTTGGGAGGCAGTCCCTCTGTGAGTGAAAAATTATGTAAATCCGTGACAAATCATCTTTGTTGACCACATAGATTGCAAAATAACGGAGGTGTTCTTAAAAGCATTACGCAATTTGACAATGAGTTTGAGAATGCATAAGAATAATCAGACGGCTGCCAAATGGAACTTATGAAAGTTTACTTATCAAGTGACAGTTATCATACGGCCATTACTTCTGATAGTGTCTGATGTCACTTGCACAGTGAAAGCGGAACGATAGAGAGCCTGAATTGAATGAACCGTCAGCCGAGTTTTACTGCGATGGTCAACACCCCAATTCTTAAGAGTGCTTCGAGAATAATGTTAGACCATGGTTTAACGGGATCTTTATCTGTACGTACTGCATGAAAAACGACTAAAATACACGATTCGTTGCAATTTTTGTTTCATGTTCCGTTGCCAAAACCAATTTTTCTTCGAGAGAGACCTCATACTCTCTTGTTCGTTATCTTTCTCAAATCTGTGAAGTATTATTTCATTTCGTCTTTGAGTTATACAGTATAGGCACGACTGACTTTAGGGCTTCCAACAATCATATTATAAACATTTTTTAAAGAAATTCAGATTAGAATTACTGTCGATCTTCTTCCATTTGTTATTGAACACAAAACGTGACGTTAACTGAAAAAGTTCAATGACTAAAACAGCTTGAGATTAAGTCCAACGCTTTTTTTATTGTTACATTCCTTGCGAATTTATCTGGCTGAGCGTAGGATCAACTCAGTATCTCCTCAAAGTTGAGTTTGCATTTGCCCGATTAGATAAATCATCTCACCATCTCATAACATCTATATCTGTAATTAAAATTTTGTTCAACGTCAATAAATTCGACAGGTAAAGGTAATTTCATCGCGCACGTCTCTGATAACATTGCTTTTACAAATGACGGTAAAATGGAAAGGTGACGTTTGAACTAAAAAAAAACGAATTAAGCCTGAGGAAATTGTGTCAATGATAGAACTGATAACAGCAGTCATTGAAAAGGCTCCCCTTCATAAGGTACTCAGCTTGTCTAAAACTGTCTCTGGCGTTAGCAGGGGAAAGAATGAATCCAACGGCCGGATTAAGTTTGGAGGAGAGAAATTCTTCCATTTCTTCAGATCAGTGCTTTGTCTTGCCAGATCCAAGCTTTAACACAGTAATGGATCGTCACACGACGAACCTTGTCACAGCCATTATAAACGGCTTATGTTCACCTTTCGCCGTTGTCGCCAATTTCCTAGTAGTGTTTGTGATCGCACGAAACGGCGGCCTTCACTCGCCGTCCAACCTTCTTTTGGCCAGCTTGGCGTCCTCTGACTTCTTGGTCGGTCTACTGGTACAACCATGCTACATTGTGTTCCGCTTACAGGAAAACATTTTGCATTTTGTGCCCTGTCTGTTTAGAGTGATTTATTCCGAAAGCTTCTGGGTGTGTTATGGAGTGTCGTTTCTGACACTAAGCGCCATCAGTTTTGAACGCTATATTGCGCTGCGCCTACATCTTCGCTACAAAGAGCTGGTTACTACACAGCGCGTTTTAAAGCTGGTTGTCAGCCTCTGGGTTTTGGAAATTACTCTGACTTCCTTGGAATGGATCTGGAAAAGTGGGCATTTGCGGAAAATTCACGCTTTCCTCTTACTTATCTGTCTCTTGGCCACCTTTGGCACACATATCAAAATATTTTGGATTCTCCGTCGACATCAGCGTCAAATAAACAGCTTCAGTCACATGCCACCAAAGAGGAATCTTCAGCGCCAAACAAGACTCGCAGTGAATGTCTCGTACATCGTTGTAATCTACATAACCTGCAACATCCCAGTATTACTCATCATGGCGTATCTTTTCGCTGGAGGACATCTCGACAATTTTAATATTTGCAGCTGGACTGAAACTATAGCGTTTTTAAATTCGTCGATTAATCCTGTCATCTGTTGTTGGAGGAACAGAGGGATACGAAAAGCCGTCTCAGCGAAGATCGTTTGTTTGAATAAAACATTGACTAAAATGGAACTTGGCAATACATCCGTTGCGACGAAGGGCAATAAAGTGAGATTGTCAGCTTATGTCATCCAGAGGAAATGAAGGTGAAGAACTCAATTAAAAAGTTGAGAGATATTACGAGTTTTGCAGGGCGTAATTACAACTTGGAATGTTTAAGTTAATTTCGATCGAGAATCGTAAAAACAGAACCAAAGTAATAAAAAAAATAGTCAGTAATTAAGTGGTAATATTTCAAGGAGCCAAAATGAATTCAACCCTTTTGAAACCTAACGCCCAACTGCAATGTCGTAAATTTCTTAAGGCACTTACTAGGATGAATTTGACCAACAATCAAATATTTCTTGATTTCGCGATCATCTCATTTATTTTCGTGACCTTAATGTTTGATTAAAGGGTAATGTAGTAATGAGATATTATATGCTTGTCACTCTTAAGGATTAAACGGTTTAAGAAAGTACGAGAAACGTACTGAAGGGCGGGAAAACGCGAGTGATCCAGTCGCTTTTAAGTTCTTTACGTAATTGGTCGAGATAACAGCGTGTGTTTCCTACGCCAATCATCGAACGATATGGCGCAAAACCTATGTAATTGGTGATTGCATTTAATATTCAGCCGAAAAAAGCTAGATATTCTTCATCTGATGTTAGATAATATCACATGAAATTTATTTGTGGCGTTTGGAGTCGTGTTAATGCGCCAAAAAACTCTCATTTTCGTGTTTTATCACCTGTCACGTTTTTAATAAATTCTTAACAACACTTTCTAAAAGTACTGCATATGCTTGGTGTTTAACAATAGGCTGAATCTAAATTTCACAACTTCCTCTGTCAAGCATAAAAAACAGTATTGTATGACTAGTATTACTCTTCAGCCTTGATATGACATTATTCATCTATATATACTCGAACTCATTCACGAAGGTACAATCTTTTTTGTACAATACAGTCGAACCTCGATTATCCGAACATCGATTAACCGGACTTTTTCTCTGGTCCCGCTTTTTTCATGAATATTAATGACATTAGATATTAAAAACTTTAGGAGGTAGAAAAATTCAGAAATTATGTTAAAAGTCAGGAAAATTGCGTTTAAAACGGCGCATTACACGCTCCGCTTTCGAAAGATCGAGCACTCGGAGACAAAAAGAGACGAAGTATTCTAATGCGTTCAGCTGAATTTTGATTTGTTCAGTATTGTTTTTGTTGCTAAGCTGAGCGTGGGTTATGTAAACACACGAGACGATCATAACTCAAAACGACAACATGTCTACGAAGCAAAAGCGATCTGTTGAAGCTAACTTTTGGAATTAAAAATGTGTTATCTTTATTTCTTTTGTTTACATTGTCTCATTAATATTCATATTTTCGATTATCCGGACTCTCGATTATCCGGACTATTTACCCCAGTCCCACCGAGTCCGGATAATCGAGGTTCGACTGTAATATAAACTTACCAAACAATAAGAACACTCCAAATCTATAGTAGACTTAAAAGCTTCAGGTTCCCTTTTTAATATAGAGTTTCACGCTAAGAACAACTCCTCTTGCCGTCACTGCAAACGAAGTTGTTGTTCATGTGGTACACTCTTGTAAATATGTATGTATTTCAGTTCCAAATTGCATTGTATATGTTTTGCACAATATTATGCATGGAAATAAACGAATGCGTATTTAAAGAATACAAAGTAAATGAAACAAGCAATCGAAAGAAGTTAAAATTGACTCTTAAATTAAGGCGAGAGTTTATTGCTTGACGCTATTTGGTCCATTGATCAAACTGATGACAAATGTCGAAGCCAAGGTCATTGGACAGAATTCTGACAAGTTAGAAGGGAGAAACGTTTTCATAAGGCTAAATTTAATTTGCACCTTTGAAATTGTGCGTTCAGACCAATAACTTCTCAAAATAAATACACTTCATAAACTCTAGTACGAGACGAATTGACTTCGAGTATGAAAAGAAACAAAAGAACAAATTTTATTCCCTCTTCAGTTCGAAATTTTACCGAAGAATTTTCTTTTAGTGAATGAACAAAAAAAAAAGTTTGGATGTTAATTGTATTTCAATATTCGCACTAAAATTCATACCATGGTTTTAAACACTCTCTTATTTGTTTTGTTGCTGTGCCATTTATTTCAGCTGTTCATTAAAAGAAACAAAGCTTTTCACGCATATGCTAATGCAACCTTACCATCGCGGAAAACATATTGAAATGACGACCGCTGTCAAGAAGTTAATAACCTGACTTCAAACCTTTTTGTCAGAAATTTTGGACATTGAGACAGCATCTCAATTTTACGAACAGCATGCTGGTTTGTCAGTGTGGTATGGAAATTACCATGTCGTTCTAACTTCGAAGCTTAGATACTGACGCGGATGATCCACAAATGGGGTTGAATCAGTCGGAGGAGTGTTTCTTTCTTGTGGATCCAGAGTTCCATAATGTTCAATACCGCTATTCCACCAACTTTGCAACGAGTATCATCAGCGGCATATTTTCTCCCGTTGCTGTCACCGCAAATTTCGTCGTTCTTTATGTAATTTTCCGCGCTGCATGGCTTCGAGATCCTTCCAACCTGCTCTTGGCCTGTTTGGCCGCCTGTGATATGCTGATCGGTGTTATTGTCCAGCCCAGCTATGTCTCATTCCGGCTGAGTGAAAACAGAGACCATTTCGTGCCATGCTTTGTAAGAATAATCTACTCGACGTCATTTTTTATCTGTTACGGAGTGTCTTTTCTGACGCTTAATTCAATAAGCTGCGAACGCTACATCGCCTTGACAATTCATCTTCGTTACAAAGCCATCGTTACCAAACGTCGCCTGCTACTAGTCGCCGCTGTAATATGGGTCTTAAACGCCTCACTGACTTGCCTTCAATTTGCTGGCATCAACGACATCGTGAGAACAATTCATTTAACAATCTGGTTTGTATGCTTGTTCACTTCAGGTCTACTGCAGTTTAAAATCGTCGGGATCGTTCGTAAGCATCACGATCAAATCCGACGACAAGAACACCAGTTTAACTTGAACGCGAATAGTTACCGACGCCAGTTAAAACTTGCTACCAGTATAGCTTATATCGTAGGGATTTATATTTTTCTTAACCTTCCAGTTCTTGTAGTAACGACCTACCACCAAATAGTGAGAGGAAATTTGAGTACCCTGAATTATTACAGCTGGGCAGAGACGGTTGCTCTTTTGAATTCGTCTCTAAATCCTTTTATTTGTTGCTGGCGGAGTCGAAATATAAGGAAGGCAATTTTTAAACTCGTGGCAACATGGATAACATGTAAAACTTCCAGCAAGGGAGGAGATGAAGATGTTGTCCATAACGGTGTAAAAAATTCAAGAAAGTATGAATTTGGTTGTCATCTGAATATGAAGCCACTTCGACTTTAAGAGCTCAAATGTGAATTGGGAAGATAAACTGCAATAAATTCATAGCGGCATCTTGAATTGATTTTTATTCATACAAAAAAGAAAAAAAGTTCAAAAAGGAACCTCTAAAATGGTAAAATATTGCAAAGTGTTAACCGTTTATGTACAAAGGACATTCTTTTAAAACAAACAACTCTACTTGTTTAGATTAATATGTTTACTTACACTGACCGGTGTATTTGTTTATGGAATTGTATTTAGGAATAAATTTTATTTGAATTTTATCTCTAGGTTTTGTTGAACTGAGTGATTCAAGATCTCAAAATGTCCCATATTTCAACATGATTCGCAGGTCTCTAGAGACAACGGAGCAAAAATCAGGCCATAGAAAGTTTTCCTTCGCCGACGTAATACGGAACATGAGAGGAAAATTTTCAGAGGATATGATATGGTCAATTAGAGCCATTTATCTCATTTTCCATGAATAATTTAACAGCTTTCAATTTTATTTTTCGAATTTATCTTATGCAAATATTTCGATCCTTTTGCTAAATAATGAACTACATTTGGCTCCTTTATGCTCGATGCTTTGTTGGGAAATTTATCGGAAATCAATGCATAATTTTATGGCTACCATGCATTGGTAAGTTTCTAGATGAATTCGGACCCAAAAACAGAGCCAAAGTCTTTGTCATGTCTGTAATTTGGGATGTAGTGTCTATAAAAAACTTGAGGATGATTATTTAGGGAACTTTTCGTCTCCATTATCGGACAAATCGTTATTCGAGACGATTATGACTATCGATGGTTCTTGGCAACGTCTGAATCTTACTAGAGAAACGCCTTTGTCTGATAATGTAGTGTTGGACAAATATCTGGGAATTTTTCTCTCCTCTCGACAGGTGCAAAGTTCCCTGATCCCCTTGCGAATTAGCTTCACTCTCCAAAGGCATATTACTGGGTTAACAGAGGAGTTAAAAAACGCAGCTGTCTCGGCCCAACTGTATAAATCGTAGGTATTTATATCAATGTGAACAATTTGATGGACGGTAGTGATGAGAAGGACTGGAAGATTGAATGCCAAATAAACTGTAACAATGCATGCGATGTTTGCTGCAAACTTTACTTGCATGTGAGTGTGATTCGGAAGATAAATTTGAGGATAAGATGATTGAAGTCTCTTGATTTGCTGCTGATGGTAGCGAATGATTGGGAGGATTCTCAACTGGCTTACAACCGCAGCTATTAATAAAAGCAACCATGAGCCAAGATGAATGCCTCTGGCCACCTCGGTATGGGCCCACTGCAGAAGTGTCAGTAAGATGTTCGCCAACCAAATGAGAATTATAAGCTTAAAGATTCTTGACAAACGTATTAGATGCGAGTACTTTAGCGGAAATAGCAGTGCAAGGAGTCTTTCCCAGCTAATGACACATAAAATAACAAGAGAAACGCCATAGCACACGAAAAACCCGGTGGAGTAGAACAACCGTAAAGCGCATGGGACAGACCTGTGCTGGTTCTCTATTAATCTGAAGGCAACGTAACTTGGCTGAACAAGCAAACCAACGAGAAAGTCGGAAGCAGCTAAACATCCTAGCAACACGTTCAAGGGTGTCCGAAGAGATATCTTTCTGCTGATAACCAGGATGATGAGAAAGTTTGCCGCTACACCGAACGGCGACAACACTGCATTTATAACACCTGTTACAAGATTAGTAGTAAAGCGTTCTGCTGCTTTGTCGAATTCTGGATCAGGCAAAATCAACACGCAAAAGTCCTTCCCAAGAGGACGGAAATCCGAAGAAACCGTTGTTGACGAGGCGTTCGTGATATTGGCCATGTTTTTCTCAGTGACTGTCATCAAGCGCTTTTAAAAAAAATGTTAAAACAGCTGATTTAGACCAACTTCAAGAAGACTTGCCATCTTTTCTTCTAATGTATTCATCTACTTCTTACCCAAGGTGTTCAATAGCACTTAGGTAAACATGTCATCGGCGTAGTTAACGAATACTTTGCGGGTGAAAATGACCTGCCGTGCTACTGGTTATCAAATGCAAGACTTCTTTTCTATGGGTGATTTAAAATGTTAAAATTTAATGAAAATTTCATCGTGAATATTTTTTTAAAAACTGTCGTGGTGTAATAATAAATAAAAGAACCATTATTTAATAGTCAAGCCCAAAATACGTGGGTAGTTTGTTTGGTTGGGATCAAAAGAGTTTTTTAGTTGAACTTGACAGGCATTGCTAAAAATATTGACAAGCGAGAGAAATTTTGATTATGGAAGGCCTTGAGAATAATAAATTACATATAATATTCTACACGAATCACAAAATTGACATCCCGGAAAAAAAGAATGGAAAACAAAATCACTCTGTTAAAAAAAAAAAAAAAAAAAAAAAAAGCAAAAGAAGCAAGGAATAACTTTGAGGAATTATCCTCTCTATTTCTCAAAGTCGTGAAATCTCTTGACCAGTTCTAATGCATGTTTTATTAACACTGCAAATAATAAATATTTTCCATAATTGAGTGGGTTGCTCGAAGTTGGCAAAACATCGATACTCAAAGCAGATCAACATTTGCGAAGGTTCAATATCGTTTAGTATCGTATCTACTTTAGTAAATGGCATCAATTTGGGCTAAACATGACTCTTAACGGAAAAAGGAAAATCTAAGCTGGACAGACGGCGAGAAAAATCCCGTGTAAGCTTACAAAAATGTTTAACCAAGATCATGAATAACTCCTACATGTGAAATACTTGTAAAGAACTAAAAAACCAAAGAAGGATTTCTATCTTAAGCGCGTTACAAAATTATTATTTTCGTAGTTACAAAATTCAATACGGAGAAGATTTTTGAGCATTGGTTTATCTTTGAAAAACTCTCATTTTGAAAAAATTTGTCTAGCATCTTCCAGATGTCTAAGTTCCCAGCACTTGCCACTTTAATTTACTGCGTGAATAACCTGTGTTAACTAACTAAACATGTCTAGAGCCGTTCTATTTAAATCTGAAGGAAATTATTATGAATAAAAAGGAGTTCCGGCAAAACTTTCTAGTCAACCTTGTGCTTCTCCTCAGGCTTTGCAAAAATAAAACGTAATTTTGCGTAAGTATCCAAGGAAGTCCATTTGTTGAATTTTTATCCAAAGTTTACCTAAAATTTATATCGCTATTGTGCGTGTTGTTGTAGGATTGGCCACCTTCGCTTTCCCAAGCCCAAATTATTTTAAAGTTGCAATTATTCAGTGGTTTAAAATGAGTGGTGTACAATTTTAGATAAACTTCCAGTATACCAGATTTTACCAAAAGATTGAACAAATATAAAATTTAGAACTTAATTTTCTTAAAAATTACTTTAAAAACCCTAGATCGAGGAAAAGGACGCAAAATATATTTTTATATCTTACGTGTTTACCGAACCCACTAATGCATCGTCATCGTAAGCTATTGACAGCAATTACTGCGTTGCCTGTGAGTTGTCGCTCACCGATTGCCAAATTTAAGATCGAATTAAGAAGTTACCAAATCCATTAGGATTTTCAGTCTTATTTTTATCCTAGCTGTTCTTTTCTCTTTATAGAGAAGTACTCCTAATGAGTGAAATCTGCCTGGGGATTTCTGGGCATTTGTAAAAACTTTCAACAGATTGGCTAAATTTTAACCTGGTATGAAATTATTCAATTGATCTCTCTTCTGCTAGACGCACAATGACAGGCGATGCAAATCAAGCTCGCGATAAACATTGCATCCATATTAGCGGTATACTTTGTGCTCAACCTGCCAGTGCTTGTCATTACCATATCTCACCAAGTAGCATCTAAACAGATTACCAGCTACAACCTATACAGTTGGGCTGAGACGGTAGCGTTCATAAATTCATCTGTCAATCCGCTGGTTTGCCTGTGGAGAGTGAAGTCCATTCGAAATGAGATAACAGGTTTAAGAATTTGGAAGAGGTTGCAGCTGGCAAGACATAGATTCAAAAAAGACAAGACGCCTGGGCTGATACCTCTAGATAAGAACCTTGTCTTGGTCAGATTTCGACAAATTACGGCCCCTTAATCTTTAAGCACCAACTTCAGTCCACATGACTACATAGCAATATGCCGATATGAACTTAACCCTTTATACCCTGTTATCTGAATACAAATTCTCCATACTGTTCTATAAACATTTCCTATGGAGCTGAAAAGGAGAATTTGTTACAAAATCAGCACCTTTTTTAGTTAGTGGTAATTTCTATCATTCTCGTGACCTTAACGTTTGATTCCTGGGTGATATTGTAAAGAAAATTAGATGATAGTCACCCATGGAGGTCAAAGGGATAACGAGGAAATCGTAGACAATATTTTAAAGGGAAGTTTCATGATATTGTCCCACGAATAGAAAATTCGAAGTTTGAGCACCTGATACCGGGCCTTTGCTGACATCCTTAGAATTTCCGGACTCTTTACCTTACCCAAAGCACTCCGCATAAAAGCTGTCAATAAATGCTGTCAATCCCTCCTAGGAGTTTTCTGTTGCTAGACTCAGTTTTAATGTAAAAGCAATTTGTGTTTGGCCTAACAATGAAGTTGTATGTAAGTTCTGTTTACGTTTTATTTCTCTGATACGATAGCAGATTAAAACTAAAATTATCGAACTAAGAGTGTTTATTTATAATTATTGAATCAAGAAGAAAAAAGCAATTTTGTTTTTCTTGTTTTTGTAAAATTGGGAGTTTAGAATTTAGTAGTGTTAAACTTGTATCTAAACTATAGCCTTTTAAAACATTAGATATTTAACTTTATCCACTCAGACGTGTTCGCATGCGAGCAGATATGGAACAAAGAAAAGACCTTTCCGTTTTTAGCTGCGTCATCCATCAGTGATGCTGATCTTCATTTTAGATTGCAAAGTACTGAAGGTCGTCCTTCCAAGATAATATTTCATTTCTCCCCTCTAGCTGCTACACATTTCCTTGTAAATTAGTTACGATAATTTGGTGTCGGATCGAGGTTACAACTTGTACCTGATAAGTTTTAATATTCTCATTACCTGTTTGCTTGGTAATGTATAGATGTTATGGAGAAGTTATATGCTAATCACTTAAACGGTAATTTACCACTGTTCTCGTGAGCTTTTTCGAGTGTCGAAATCCTTAAAATTTTGTTTTTTTCGCGTCTAGTTGGTTGAGAATTCGAAAGGTAACACGTGTTTTCTACACGAAACGTAAATTGCAGCAAGGCTAAATGAATGAAGCCAAGGCTTGCTATTGACTTTAAAGTTCCATAACCAGCTGAAATGTCTGAAATTCGACTGTTCAGAACCGACTATTGTTTATTTGCTTCTATATCATCAGTTCTAAATTCCCTCCAATATGTGTCTTAGATAAATCTTGCAGGTGGCATTTTCTTTATTGCTAGCTTATTTTATGTCTTGTCTCCTCCAGCAAACCATAGGATTTATGAAGGAGGTCCAGGAGGCCATAGTCGCCCATTGGCTATAATCCTCTGTATCATTAGTTCTATTCCCCTCCAATATGTGTCTCACAAAAATCTTGCAGGTAGCATTTTCTTTATAACTTTCCTGATGTCCTGACTCCTCCAACAACAAACCATAGGATTTATGAAGGAGTTCAAGAAAGCTATAGTCTCACTCCAGCTGTAGTAATCATACGAGTCAATGTGGCCAGTCGCAATTTGGTGATAGGTGGTAACAACCAATACTGGCAAATTAAAGAAGAAATATATCCCCACAATGTAAGCAACGCTAACTGCAAGCCTGACTTGGATTCGAAAGTTTTGATTTCCAGCTGATAGCCTTTGATGGCGCTCGATATCTCGACAGTGGCGGCGCACGATCCGATGGATTCCAAACTGAGAAATCCCTGCGATGAAAAGAGACATGAACCAGAAAAACAAGCTCATGCCTCGCGCGATTTTGATGATGCGAGCCCATTGAAGAGAAGTTAAGGCCACGTTTAGAAACCAGATAAACACTACGAAAATTAACACTCGACGCACAGTTACCAGACATTTATAGCGAAGGTGAAGCCTTAAAGCGAGATATCTCTCAAAGCTTATTGTGCTCAAGGACATGAAAGAGACTCCATACCAGATGTAAAAACCATTTGCATAAAGGAGTCTTACTGCACAGTTTACATAACCGTATTGGTTTTCTCTCAGTCGATAAGCAAGGTACGCTGGTTGCACGATTACACCGACTAAAAAGTCTGATAAAGCCAAACAGGCGATCAACATACAGGAAGGTGTACAACGAAGAGTCGGACTCCGCAAGATTGCTACAAAAACCAAAAAGTTAGCAATTACAGCGAACGGTGCAAAGATGGCGTTGATGATACCAGTGATTAAATTGCTTAGGTAGCGGTGAGACGCCATTTGAAAAGAAGGGTCTGGTAAATGAGAACAAAGGTGAAAAATCTGATCATCATCGACAGGGAAGACATCACTAGCCATTTCTGAATACTCCATCTTACCATCTATAATCCATTTTAAACCTCTCCGTCCTTGGCTATCATTTTGGCTATCAAGTTGGTTTATAATTTCTCCCCCTTGTTTTCCTTTCTCATCAAACAATTATTTGGAAGCCGTAATTATGCTGGTAGTAGTTTTAAACGTCGAAAAGAAACTGATCAAAATTTTGCCTTGAAACTCTCTCGCGTACAGGCAGGATTGAAGTCTTCTTCAAGTCGTAAGCCTCTCGTACGTTAATGTTCGAATCAGCTTCTATCCTAATGTCAATTAAATTATCCTAATTTTCACCCCTTGGCATATGATTGATTCAATAACTGACGGCAGTCCGGCTACAAATGACAATTTTAATTTCACTTTGAAAAAAAATATATGA